CCACATGTACGACAAGTGCCAATGCGAGGGTACTGTACAAACATCTTGAGATTTCGAATCCATATATATTAGAATGTGTTGGGACCATGACACCACACTTGCATATAGACAGAAAATGGTAGTACTTTCTGCCATGTCTCATTGCAGGAATGCAAAGAAGTACTACACCAAGGACAAGAATCAGTCGGCCACTGATGTCAGATTGCAGGGCGGTAAGCCCAAACCGAGTGCATCTTCCAAGTCCAAGCCTTCCAAGTCTTCCAAGAAGACTGTGAAGAAATCGAGCAAGAAGTGAGCTGATCTTTTGTGTTGGGTTCGGTTCTAGGCCCTGAACACTTAGAAACTCAGCATGTTCGCACGCATGGGAAACAACTTTACACTTTTTGACATTCATTCCTGAATTTAACAATTTGCTATCTCTGAAACTTGTCTCCGGGTTATGTTGATAGATTCAGTCATTTGACTTATACATCAATTACATTCAATTTTGGTGACACCAATGCATGTGTGCGAGTTATCAAGGAGTCTGTGTTTGCTGGCCACCATTTCGGGGATGTTCAAAATCTAATTTGATCGAAACCTGCAGCCCTGCTGCGGGAGATCCCAAAGTCCTGTGATGGCGATGGTGCCAACTCTCGGCAAAGAACCTGTGCGGTTCAAGGGTGTTGACGGAGAAAAACATTTGGCGGAACGGTGCAACATGGCAATTGGTTTTTTTTATGTTGATTGTTGAGACGGAATCATTGTTTGGGTGACATCCAGCATTCGGACTGAATTTGTCTATAAGACCAACTCTGTAAATTTATCATATTACCAGTAGGCTTCCGGAGATCAGGTGAATGTTATGATCCCCCCCAAATCACCAAAGAACCACACACTGCCTAAATCAATACAATGAGGAATTTCAAATGCCTTGTGATATTGACCTCCAACCTCTATATATGGCATATATGGCCATTATATATATGTGCACAGCACACGGCTCACAGCCAGGTCGCCCAGCTGGAAATGCACTGCGTGGCTTCAGTGAGGATGTCGGCCTAGGGGCAAGCACCTCAGATCTGGACAGGTGGGTGCTATGCAGCCAACTCTGAACCAACAAACTACCACAAACTGCCGTTTCCACGCAGCACAATTGGCTTAACCATGGGGTGCCCCTCGCTTGATTTCATTTGTGCCCATGCACCATTCGCACACATGTGAAGATGATTCTGAAGAGTGGTTACATGAGCTACTAAATTGTCACAAGTCAGAAACTCGACTGCAATCTTGGGAAAAATGGTAATGGTTGTGATCTCTTGCTTCGACAGTTGCATTCATACAGGGGATCTGTTGTCCATATATATTATATATATGTTCCATATATATCTAAAACCATCTAAAACCTATATCAGATGAGTCTGTTGTGCCTGCATGGCAGCACACCTAAGGATTCCAAATGCTCTTCACGACCGGAGGTTTTGCAACATAGATCTTTGGGTACAGTTTGCGGAGATGTGCCATCAGGAGAAACACGGAAACGATGCTTAGATTCTCCAACCCCAGTCCGGCCCACAAGACAACGGAGTCTAATGTGGGAACAACGTTTGGAATCTCATTTGGATGCGACTCCTGAATTGAAAACAATGTATCAACAGTGGGGAACTCATTGTCCTGGCAAAGTTCATTTCAAATTACCACGGTTGGGGGCTTTGTCTGGGTCCATCTTGCGGCACTCCTCTGAAGTGATGGAACGAATTTGCCATGCTGAGTATCCATTGATATTCAAAATTGGTTTTACACACAACCCCTTCTGGCGTTGGTCAAACAACAAATACGGATATGCCTTTGCTCCTGAAAAATGGTCCAACATGATCGTTCTCTATGTGAGCAGTGAGTGCCACAGCGTATCGATGCTGGAAGCAGCCCTGATCGATAAATACAAAAGTATCTCAACTGTACCAAGTCATTTTTTTTGGTTCTCGTTACTGATCTGTCCTCTCAACCCACTTAGGGGAACCCATGTTGGTTGGTTTTGGATTTTTTCTGGTCGACCCAATCATTATCATCACTATACACCATATACAATCATATATGATCATATATATCATATATATGTCGAGATCTATACTATATAAAAATGGGAAAGTATATTCATCCCAATTTTTCTTTCTAAAACATATCTGTTAGCCTCAGTACTCCAGTGCTGTTTGTCCAAGGCACCCAGGGATGCAAAAACATCAAGTTGGGCGGAGACACCGTCCATGGCGAATCCTCAGAAGGATGGAACGTGTTCATGACATACTTTGTGCACAGATCCTTGAAGTTTCCTCCGGGTGATAAACGCCAAAAATGAAATTTAGTGTACATAAATGTACATAAAATGGCCTATACATATTGTTGGCATTTGTTGGCAATCAGAACTTGCGCAGCCCAACCGTGGCTTCACACTCCAAAAAAAAAGGTTTACATGCGCTGCGTGGATCTTTGAACTTGGTGAGTCCGTTATATGAACATGTCAGTTGGCAGTTGCATCAGCCCTATCCACCACGGCCAACCCAACACAAAGCATATTATAATATTATATATATAAATCGATCTATACAAAAGGCATTCCCTGTATCCCTGTATCGCTACACTTCGATTTAAGAATACACCCTACTGTGCGGCCTGAGGCATCTTGCGCCAGCGTAGTGAGAGCTGCAAAGGGTTTTGTGGAAGATGTAGGGAGCGAAGCTGCTTCCAGATCAGCAGGTCTACTAGACTTGGCCCGGAGTAGCGATAAGAACGCTGAGAGGGATTGCAACAGTGTAATGGTCAAGAAATTTAAATTGGCATTGCCAATTCCCACGAGCACTTTGGATGTTAGTCCAAATACGGAACCTTCAGTTCCTCTGTTGAAGTTGAGGGATTGGGCAAGATATTTGATCGAGTCCAACAACACCCATCTGCTAGTCGGTCTGACAAAGCCTTGTTGGGAACGTGAAGCTGCCATTCTGCTGAAGTTTTGGAGCTTGTTTGAAAGACAGGAGCCCAACCACCCGATCTTTCGAGAAGCTGCTTCAGGAAACCTGCGTTTGAGCCACACCTTTCCGATGCTTTTGCACGGGGACGAGGGTCGGGGACGGAAACGCTCGGCGTTTCTTGTCCTCAACTTTCATTCAGTTGTTGGCCGAGGCTTGAGAGCCAGCAAGAAAAAGACGATCTTTCATGAACAGACGAACAAGAAGCAGAAGAAGAAGCATCGCATGAAGGCTTGGACCCAGATGCGACCGAACTACATAGGACACACCTTTACATCAAGGTTTCTGTTTGCAGCACTTCCAAAAGTGCTGTACACCGGCAAGCACGAGCATGTATGGGATGCACTCATGTGTTCCGCTGCCGAAGAAGCGAAATTCATGTTTGGAACAGGTATTGCGGACGGAATGCATGGACGAGGGAGATTTCACATGGCCGTGCTTCGCATTTGCGGAGATTGGCCGTGGTTGACTGACAGTGGTGGATTGATGCGCTCCTTTCGGCATGTGCAGAAGCACAAAACTCGCAGCAAACCTCCAGTTGGTGTCTGTCACAAATGCATGGCAGGACAGATTGGCTTTGATTTTGAGGAAATCAACACATTGCAACCAAAATGGCTGGCGACTATGTACAGTCAGAGCCTGTTTGGCGAAGGTGCAGAGCCATCTCCGTTGTCGCAGATTCCCCATTCAGTTAATGAAATGGCAAGCCTCTGGACATTCGATATTTTTCATACGGTTCACCTTGGCATTGGCCGCTGTTTTCTGGCAAGCATTCTAGTGCTGTTGTCAGAGCTTGAACCCGGATCGAACATTGATGACAGGTTTCAGAGTCTGACAGATGACTACTTGTCGTGGTGCAAGAGGTCGTCCCGAAGAGCTCATGTCCAGAAGCTGTCCAAGGAGTTGGTCGGCTACCCCACTACGCGAACTTACCCAAACGGTACCTGGCACAAAGGAGATTTGACAACTGTTCTCATGGGGTATGCTCAGTACCGCTATGAAAAGGACGGATCAACTTGGTCTCCAATGTTGCAACTTGCAGGAAGAGATGCCGTATGTCTGAACAAATCCTTGAGTGAGATGTACAGTTCTGATGCATGGCTGAGCCCCCGGGAAGCCAGAAGCATCGGCAATGCTGGCATGGATTTCTTGAAAGCATACTCCCGATTGGCTCGCATGGCTCTAAACCAGGGTCTGACACTGTGGGTGCTCCAACCGAAGCATCATGCCTTTCATCCTTTAATGCTGTATCTGATTCTTGGAAGTAACCAGGGCCCTGTGCTCAACATCGTTTGTTTTGGAACCCAAGCAGACGAGGATTTCATTGGTCGACCATCCAGGCTCAGCCGGAGGGTCACCGCGATGCCAGAGCAATGTTGCAAGCGGGTGGTGAGCCGCTACCTGCAGAACTGTTGGTCCCAGTGGGTGAAAGCTGGATACATTGTCAGGCCGAAGGCCACAGCCAGCGCGTGATATAGCATCAATGAACGACTCAATGTCTCAGATTAATTTCCCAATTCTTTGCACTCGTCCTGATCTCTACCAGAATGATCATATAAGATATATCTAATATTATATTATATAACTTTGTGTTTGGGTTGGCCGTGGCTTTCACTACCACTATCGGCTGAGGACCTTACATGTGGTGTTGTGCAGGAGCTCTGCAACTTTGATCAGGAAAATGACGCATCAGCGGCAGCGGCGAAACCCAGGATTTTGGGAAAACCAGGTTTTCCCTCCGGAAACCTGATTATTGGTTCACAACTTGTTTTTTTTAGGGTTTTGGAAGGACAAGGTATATATATATAGCGATATATATATATATAGTTGATGATGTACCAAGATGGTGTTTCACGAACGGAGGACATCCTTTCTCTGGCACATTTGCCTGCACCCATACATCGGAAATCGCTAACATCTATGTCATTATGAGCCAACATGAGCCAACCAGGTTCGACTGCGGCCCCCACAACCCCCGCAACCCCCAAGCTGGGCCACTCATTCACCGCAGCTGCGTCCGTGATGTACTCCTGCCCCATGCGCTCCAAGACCGCTCGAAAGCCATTGACCTCAGGCAGAAAAAAATTAGAAATTCTGAGGACTCAAATCCCAATCGAAGTGATCCAAGCATAGAGAAAACCGGAAAATCTATGGAAAATCACACCAACATCAGCTGGTTAGTGGGTGGAGCAATCCATCTCAATGCTATGAAAGCCACTACCCTCACAATCACCATCACAACTCAACAATAACATACAATAACTATATATCCATTTGGACATGTCCCGAAAGGAGGGGTGCACCAACTTCAACCCATTTTTGTGTTGACCCACAAATCTGGGACACCGCAAGACACCGCACGGTAATCAATTGGCCACTCAGAGGAGGCCACCATTTGCACCCATCATCCATGTATGCTCCAGGCATGGCGGTTCTGGTCCATCAATGCCACCCAGTCACAAGTTCAAAGTTGTTCCGAGTGTATTGTTTCCTTAGCAGGAGCACAAGGCTGGCCATGCTGACCCCCCTACAACTTAATTTGAGAACAGAAACTATTGACATCTATTGACCCCAAAGGATTGATGATTTGATAATTTTGATATGATTCGATATCCGAAATATCTCAAAAATATCCCAAAGTGATCCATTTTTCATCATTTTTCGTTTTATCCACTGGCAATCACCTCATGTTTCACCGGCCCCAAAGACGTCATCCCTGGTGCGAGCCGCTGGGTGTAGTTCACGCGGACCACCTCGTTACAGAGCCACTGGGTGGAACTTCCGTTGCGTCCTGCGCTGTCCGGTGCCGCTGTGATCACAACAACGGCCACGTGTGACCCTCCGTAACAAGAGGCCAGAGAATTTTCATGAATTTTCACAATTCTGCATGTACCCTCTTGTAAACGTTTACATAACTATGGAAAATCACCATTTTCAATGGGTAAATCATGGTAAATCCACTATTTCTATGGCCATTTTCAATAGCTATGTAACAAATTACCAGAGGGTACATGAATGTTGGCTACATTCTCATAGCAAATATACAAAAAATTACAAAAATATACTGATATTACAAGATGAATCATCCTGCATCATCATCCAGGCCAAGCCCCCCCAAGCCCAGCCTTGATCTTGCCCGTGACACAGTTCGATGACTGGCTCAAAACCACTTTCCAAATAAAACTCCTTGGACGCTGAAAGATCTGAAAGGTTGCGCTACCCACAAAATGGCGGGTGGCTCAACCCAAAAATGTGGATGGTTGATGGTTGCACCGGCATCCTCCCGTTTTTCAGGATGGAACATGGAAGATGAAAAAAGTATGACGTCACCAAACAGCTGAGCTGCATAAGACACAGACAACGTGAGCAACAGCCACCTAGGACCTAAAAGTGTGTCTTGGCGGTCTTGGGGAAGTTGTTCATGTTGTTCCTTTATTTCCACTCAAACTGAGTCACAACACATGTGATCCCTCAAGGGACTCAAGGGGTACTGGGCCAACACAACACGGATAATTACATCGCTTGGCGCTCCTGAATGATGCCCGATCTGATTGGTGGTTTCAATGTCAATGAAAAATATGATCGTCTTTGGCAATCATCCAGCCGTATGGTTGAAAATAAAAACATTTGAACATGTCAATGTGACATGTCAATATGATACCATTATGACGATGTGTGAATGCCACTGACAAGCCAGTGAAGTTATGAAAATGAATTGAACACTCAATTCGAATGTAGCCATGGTCTTGTATGGGGCGTGTGTGTGTGTGTGCCGGATTCTGAGATATCAAAGAAATGTCCATCCATGTCCATCCTCGAGGGCCTTTGCATGTGGAAAAAAAAAATCGTGATAAATGACAATTCACCCAGTTATACAGTACATGAGATAAACACCAGTGTTGTTTGGGTTGTGACCGTAATCACAACCCAAATTTTGGGGATGCAAATCGATGCCAAAAATGGCCCAAGGATCATGGTTGTTGCCGTCCGTACCCAAATTCTTCAGGATGAAGGAGCTACCAGTAGAGATAAAGCAAGAAAGACGAAAGAAGAACTCCTGAGTTATTCGAAATTTGCTGGCTTGGCTATGGCTCAAACCATGGTCAAACCCTCTTTAAAAACCCCGGTTTTCAAAAAAAAGTCATCAAAAATGGAGGAACGGATGCAAAATGAGATGCGAATAGATGTTCATCCCCACAAAAAGTCCCATCAAACTTGATCCATCTCCATTTCAAGACTTCTCTTTCAAGCTTTGACCCAGAATCGAAACCTTCTTTTACTTCCTTGAAGTTCGACATGAAAACGAAAAATTACCATGTCTATTATTGCCTATTAGCAAAACAAAACATGATGTACCGATTTTTGCCATTAAGTTATTGGCAAAACATCACCAGAAACTTGAAATTGAATAAAAACGGCAATTTATGGTGACCTCACCCTGTACTCTATGTCACCAAGAAATTGCTTTCGTCAACGACATCATGGTTGATCATCATTTTCTACATGAAAATGACATGAACATATATATATATATGACATGAAAATGGACTTACAAAAAGCCGAAGTTCCACGCGTGCCAGCTGTTGTGCAAAACATGGCAGCAGTGGCAGCACCGAGTCAAAAGTTCCGCCTGTGAAGTTACAGGGGATGCCCGACCCTGGAAATTGGGATCACTGGGTGGGGCACCAAAAGATATGGGAGTATTCATGTAGCCGAAATATACGAGTACCATCTGGTTATGACTCACATAGCCATGGCAAATCACCATTTTTAGTAGGTAAACCATCTATAAATGGGCAATTTTCCATGGCTATGTAAAATAACCAGAGGGTAGTTCTATTATATAGACTATATAGATATAACACTTCCAACATAAGACATCAACATGGGGACATACAGCAGTGTCATGCAAGCGTGGTGCTCTCACCCTCCAAACAAAAATGAATGGAAAAAATGGAAAGGAAAGAAACATTTCAACACCAACCAGGCGGGCCCTGTTGAGCCTCCCTCTGATCCCTCTGTGCATCATGAACTGAATATCATGAAGCTGGACCCTGCCCTACAGTTTCCGAATTAAGTGCATCATAAGCCTCTCAAAAGGACACAATTAGACAATCCGAACAAATCTTCAACGGCCCCAAAACCCAAATGCTGCAGCCGCCTTCGTAATGACTCACCACTGCTTGGTTCAGAAGCTGTTGGGAGAAGATCGTCACCTGTGGGATGCACTCAGCAAGTGGGGAGCCAAGTGAGCCAAGTAAACCCATCCTGAAAAGATTCGTCACTCTGCAAGTGATTTCTCCGCAGGGCCATTTGGGATTCGTCTGCGATGACCATCCCAAGTAGGGTTTTTAACATTTTTAGCAATCAAAAAACCATTTGAAACCACCAAAATCAGCAAATATTCTTCCAAGCCATAGGCTCCCAGCCCCATGAGAATCCCATGGCCAGTTGCGCAGCTGCGTCGCCCCAGCCCCAGTCCCTCCCAGTCACACTGCCAGGCTGGACGAAGCCATTGAGAAAGTTGATCTTGCGCGCCACTTCGTTCTGCATGCGGAAGTCCGTAAACATCTGGATGCCTCGGTGGCAGCGCAGGATGATCCTGGCAAAGCACCGAAACGCGACCAGAAATGGGTAACCATCAACGAGATTCAACGATAGGGATACGGATTTAATCGGATTTATATTTCAAGACACTAAGACCTATATATAAGATAGAAGATATTCAACGATTTTTTCAAATAGAAGTTGCCAATTTAGGGGTCGCCCAGAGCCATTTCAAATAGAAGTTGACGCAATCACACCAGGTTGCACCCCTTCTTTATTTCGGCCAAGCAGCTGATGCGAGTGCGCCCCCCTGGGCTTCCCAAAATAACTTCTCCCAGGAAAACCATCTGCAGAATTCCAGGGCGAAAGTCGCCATTCACCACCACCATCCTCGAGCCCTGGCAAGGGGTTGATATGGGTTGATATAGATTGATATAGATTGATATGGGTTGATATACAGCACATGAGAGAAATCAAAAAAAAAAAGATTCCTTTGTTGCTCTTCCCTAAGACGTGTTGATATCCTGCCTTGGAGGTGATCTCTTTGGCCAGCGGACTGCCAGGCCTGGTGCGGGACTGGCAATGGCTGAGGGTTTGGGCTTTCCATCATTTCTGGATCTTTCTGATGATCGTTGGAGGCCCAGAAAAAAGGGAAAAAAAACACGATGATATACTCAAAATATCTCAAAATGATGGGCCCTCGCCAAATAGTTTCGCAGGGAAGGTGTACCCATCCCAGGGGTTCCCAGTGATGATCTGATCGGAATGACGGGATGACATGGCGCGCCATCTGTGAGATCTGCAAGCAGTTTGTTTTGGGATCCGCTCTGTGGTTACATTATGTTACATTCATGTGCCTAGTGAATAATCAAAAAAATGGAAATGCAAACATGAGTCTCAGCTCACCCATTTCCTCAAGTTATTGAAGTTCTATGCATCTCCTCTAACCTCTAGTAATCTCCGGCGGTTCCTTTTCAACTCATGTGGAACCATCCTCCCAACTGTCGTGGCTACAGCTGGCCTGGTATCTGAGAAGTCGTAGCCGGGTGGGTCATGGATGTTGATCTCCAAGACGCTGCCCCAGGCCACCGGGATGAAGCTCAAGGACAGATCGCTCAAGGCTCCCGCGCGCTTCCTGCGGTCAGTTTCCCTTTTTTCTCCGTTTTTCTCCTTTTTCCCAGCCTCCAAGTCCCTATCCGTCCCTATCCTCACCTTCCTCACCTTTCAAGGGCTACAGTATCTACCGTTCACCCTGATGAACCGCAGCTCGCTGCACCTGGTCCCGGAAATCCAGATGCTGAAGTTGGCCAGCTCGGAATAGATGGGCCAACTTTCCGCAAAGGCCGACGACAGGGGCCTCCCATGGACACCCACGGGCAGACTATGGTGGCCGGGACGGCTTAACGAAGTCATTATGTGGGGGCTTCTTAAAATGGTGAATCCCCAAAAATGTGTTTTTAATACTAAGATGCTATGAAATGGTCCAATTTCGGATGATTTGGGGTACATCCATTTTAAGAAACCTCTATATAGCGGTCCTAGATGTGGAAGGGTGACCTCCAAAGTTTCCCTTCCCCACCCAGGATGCCTCGCATTCTGCACGACGTCCCAATGCGTCATCTCCCAAAGGTTTCTGACGCGCTGTGGGTGGGAGTTGTTTCTGGGAGTTTGCCCTGGATGCCATCGTCAAGATGAACAGTTCACAGTCTGGTAAAGCCAAACATGAACCTCCGTGGCCAGAGTAAGAACTTGACCATGACCAAAAACAATGATTGAAAACACCTTTGGGGCTTGCCTCACTAAATCGCATTACAGCGCGTTGTTTCGCTGGCATTTGGTGAAGAATTGTCAGCTTCAGAGGCCAGCACTTCACACGAGTTCCACTGTGTTGCAGGTTGCTGGCAGATGTTGACCAATAGATGAAATAACCTTCCTCCGGAAAAGACTGACACATTGGATGAAAGCCCGATTGGCCCAAAACTGCAGATCCCCAAGTGCATGGTTTTCATAGGTTTTCTTAAAATGGGGATCCCCAAGTCACCATGAGTTTCAAATGTGTCAATACTAAGTTGGTCTAGTTCAGATTATTTGGGATATCCCCATGGAGAAACCTCCAATCCAGATCCGATCTGATGCCCCACCTGAGTGCTTCCCGTGGAGTGGTAGGGTTCAACACAGAAATTCGAAAACCTTGAAGCAGGAAGAGCCAGAGCTGACCCCTGTCGACCATGGCAATGGGAACAGGTGGTGTTTGAAACCAAACTTGAATAAAGACATAGGAATTGAAATCAATTGAATTTGTCTTAAAATGGCGTCTTCACTGGGGAAAACGATGATAAACTGATCAACCTCAAATGTTGTGGAATTTCGGGGTTCCAATTTTGAGACAACCACGAAGACAGGAAAAGATGGTTTTCACTGAAAGGAGTAGTGGATAAAGCAAACACTATGAAGCAAAACCTTCCCGTCTTCGGCAGAGGTGTTCAATAGTACACGAATAGAATCGGTCCAGATGTTCAGAAAAAATGCAGTACAGTAAAAGACATATCATTGCTACTCCTCCGAACTCTACACCATTCAAGACTGATCCCCAGTGGTGGATGCACAGTATGTGCTCATTCGTCCCTCCTACTTCATGTCCCAGATACATGTGAATTGTGTGCATCCAAATCGGAGAGGCTCATTTGGAAGATCTTGCCAATGTAGTCAGCAAGTTCTAGCCCAAGTATGGGATAATCCTCTCAAGAGGGGCGTGTCTTACCATTCTTGATTGTCAAATCCGATTGTCAACTCCCATTGGGATCCCATTAAGATCCTACTAAATCCTATTAGAATCCAAATTTCTGGATTCAAAGAAGACCATGTTCAGGTGCACACCCATTAAATCAAATTATATCCCCATGAAGTCAGTGGCACCACATGAACCACTTCCAGTTACCATCGGATGCATCCTGGGCGCTCAAGGTATCGCCCTCCGTCAGCACGGCTTCACCCGGCTCGCTGGGCACGTAGGACACATTCATCTCAGCCAAAACCCCGGTTTTATCCATGGGAATCCGGTGAATTAGCATGGTTTATCATGGTTTATCACCAGTTTCTCCCATTGAAATGGACATCTGGACATTAATGTCTAAATCCTGGGGTCCTGAAGTTTGAAATTAAAAGCTGTTGTTTTTCCATAAATTGGTCTTTTTGGGGGGTATACTGCATTCTTGTCCAAGCCCAGTAGTGTGGCTATGGCGCGCCATATTCATCAGTAGCCCCAGAGTGCCAAGGACATGTGGTGTTGATCGTTGCTGGTGTTCTATTATGTGTGTTGCATGCTGGTTCCAGCCCTTGGAACAGGGGGATGCAAGCGAAGGCAACCCTTTACCCCGTGAATTGCTCACCAGGGTCTGTTGCGTGACTTTTGCCCCAAAGCATAGATCTCAAAATGTCTATGAAAAATCCCGCGTTTTGAGCCAGCAGTTTTCTGATAAAGAAGCTTTCAGGCTCCCAGCTCCCAGCTCCAACCACCCCAGCACCAGGTGCCGCGGCCGGGTCACCAGCACCCTACAGCTGACCTCTCCATGGATCACGCTGCAGCTGCAGGTGCCCAAGGCATCCAGTCTCAGTGGTCGGAAGGTGCCGGGCCACCTGGCGCAGGTCGAGGCAGGTGGCCATGGGTGAACATCCGTCATCCATGGATATTCCAGGAGTTTTATGTATAATACAGGTCAAATAGGTTTTATAGGTTAGATAGGTTATGTAGGTTATATAGGATTATATGGGGATTATATAGGTTATATTGATTATATTGATGATATTGATGATATTGATGATATTGATTATATTGATGATATTGATGATATTGATTATATTGATTATATTGATTGTATTGATTATATTGATTATGTAGGTTACAGGCTATAGAGGTTTTATAGGTCATATAGGTTATACTGGTTACATTGATGGATTATATGGTTATATAGGTCTTGTAGGCTATATAGCTCATATAGGTTATTATGTAGGTTATGTAGGTTCAGAGGCATCTATGGGATAAGTGCGCGTGACTCACCAATCACCGTACTTCACTTGCTAGCCAGCAATTAAGTTCTTCATGACCTGGTGACCATACGTCCCCCACTCCTTCAGTGATTAAAAAACGGAAAAGCAAACCAATGGACTATTTATTTATTTATTATTATTATTATTAATATTATTATTATATTATTATTACTATTATTGTTATTAGTATTATTATTTATATTTATTACTATTATTATTTTTATTATTAGTAGTAGTAGTAGTAGTGTTATTGTTATTATTATTTATTATATATTATATATTATTATTGTTGTTGTTATTATTATTCTTATCATTATTATTATCATTATCATTATTATTATGTGTATATATTGTTAACGATTTCTTGGTGAACCCTCACGATCTCCTCGCCATTCCATGCCTAACCCTTAGTCGACTTCCCCAAATTTAGAGCACAGAATGGGGCCCAACAATCTATCAGCGTCGGAAAATTGCATGGAAAAATGTAGGAAAATGTGGAAACATATGGAAAATGTAAAAAATGTGGAAAAAATATTGGAAAATCTAGAAAAAAAGGAGGAAAAATGCAGAACATGTCATGGAAATCCCCATAAAAACTCCCCCAGATTTCCCATCGGGCCTGAAGTTTAGGCAGCTCCTGGGACGTATATCAGCAGTCTTCGGGTTCAGGACCCTTCAAACATCTTCAATGATGCAGTCTTCAAAGATGCACTCAAAATGGGGATCTTCTGTTGCCAAGTTTAAATCAATTAAGCAGTTCAATGGCAATTACAGTGTTTGCTGATGGTTCCCCATGTTCATTCAGTGGAAAAAATGACCCCAGTAAATTGATGGTTCGGGAAAGGAGGAGAAACAAGAAAAGGGCTCAGCTTTCAGGGCGTCTGAATCATCAATGATTTAAAACTTATCCCCCCATTATATATCTCCATTATATGTACATATATATATATATAAGTACATGTATATGTATATATATATATATTTATTTATTTATTTATATATATGTATATATTTATATATATATATATATATCCTATAGCCTATATCCATTATATGTCTCCAGTGAATCCCGATTGAAATCCTCCCAAGCCCTGCTTTCTGAGTGGCTGATTGCTGGAGTTTGCACCCATTTCGAAGCCTCGTGGGGCCTTGATCTCCTCGGCCGACCGGGTTCCCACCCGGGTGTCTCCGGCCAAATCGATGGGAAACCATGGATCTTACCATCCAGAGATGGATGGAATGTTATATATATATATGTATTTATGTGTATATATATATATATATGTATATTCATGAGATGAACCAAAAAATATATATAACATGAGCCGATGGAATGGAATTGCAAAAATGGCAATGTCAAAATGCCATTTGGACTCACAAATAAACGATGGTTGAGGTTGGGATTGCCACTCTTCATCGGCTCATCAAATCCCCATGAAGCCAACAAAGCCTGGCAGCACAATACCATATGAATTGAATACAATCAAATTATATGATCACATAACCCTCTACAACCATCAATGGCACGGGTCATGGGCGTCCAAGCCAAGACGTCAACTGTAGCGAGGTTGGCAAAATTATCACAAAGCATCACATGGCAAAAAGAAAAACTGAAGCCACCTAAAGCTGGCTGATCTGGCTGGGATGTTCATAAGAAGCACCCCCTATGGTCCGAGATAAATGGGGCAAACCCAAGACTAAATAAGAATCATATAGAGTCTAGAGTAATGATGAGTAACGGGTTTGCATTTTTTGGGCAGTGTTATGCAATGTTAAGCCTGTTGAGTTTCAAACCTAGGTTCGATGCTCTGCCCCGTCATCAACGGTGCCGGAAGCACCACGCTGATGTCCACAACGTGCACGATGACACCACCATAGTACTCAGCTGCACCTGGGTGGTGGAGGATCCAGGATTTGATGGGAAACTGGCCTCCATCCATCTCCATCCTTATGCCCCAGTCATCCATAGTCATGGTATACAAAGTCTGTTGCCGCAACTGACTTTCTGATTTTTGTTTCAAAACCCAAAACCCATCTATATCCATGAAAGCGTACCCAAACATTGTTTTTGGTTTGCACATTTCCACAACAAGAAGTGCAACTTCTCACCCCCACGAAGGTCAATCATCAAAAAATTGAAAACCATCAAACATTCATCCAAAGTCATCGAAGCATCGCAACCAGTCCTCAAGAGAACATTGGCCAACCATCAAGATCTCATCCGAAAAAAATCAATGTAAACATCATCCGAAAAAAATCAATGTAAACATCATCAATCAATCATCAATCAATCATCAAACAATCGAAAATGAGAACCGAAATCATCCAAAAAAAATCAATGGCACCGAATCCCAGTGACTGTTGGAGACCTGGAAATCTTTGGCCGGCGATCTGATGGCAGGACCCTCCAGGAAGTACTCATCCAAGCGCACGCGCTCGCCCGTGGCAATGAACCCTTAAGGGCGACCCTGGTCTTTCAGGGAATGATTTGGTTCATGATGGTGGACCCAGATAGAAACGGGAAACAAGATGGTCTTTGCTGGCACACGCCTTTTTGTCGCTTCATTGTGGGCAAAAGTTCCATGTTGCCAACTGAAAATTAAGCATGTGCTGCAAAAAGACTGATTCATGTTGCATGTAAAAATCCTGGTGTTCATCTTTGACACATGCATCTCTCAAAGTAGAGAAACACCTATTGTTTGATTACATAAGTCCGGTTGCGTTGACCCATGTTGCTAGGTTTTAGCCCCCATCTGCTTGCAGGACCTCCCAAACCACCATAGACAGCCACCTTTCTCATCCCGCTGCGCGCTCCCAAATCCCCGAAATTACGGCGCTCCCAAATCACTTTTCAAACATGGCAGCCCGAAAAACCGAACAAGGACTGCGACCCTGTGTTCGCCGATGTTTGGGGGGATGCTATGGCAGATAGGCAAATATGATCAAATATGGTAGTTTTCTTAAATTGGGGCTACCCCAATGAATAAAATGGTTCTGGAAAATCTATGAAAATCTATGAACATCTGAAAATCTGGATGAGAACTGGGGGTAGCCCCATGACTTAGATTGACTTACCCTCTGGTAATTTAACATATAGCTATTGAAAATGGCCATAGAAAGAGTGAGTTTTCCCATCAAAAATGGTGATTATCCATAGCTACGTTAAATTACCAGAGGGTTAGCTATGGAAAATCATCATTTTTCATAGGTAAATCATCATGTTTACCATCTATAAATATGGAAACCTCATAAAAAACCTCCAGATGACTCCAGGTCCCCCAGGTCCCAGTGGTCCCAGTCTCTGGTGTAGGACTCCATCCGCCAGGTCATAGCCCGCGGCCACGTGGCCGTGCTGGGATTTCGCACCAAGCCCTCCAGGGTGTAGGCCACCCCCTGCGAGGAAAGCCACGAATGGTGGTGGTTTGGTGGTTCATAGTGGCTAATAATGGTTAGTCATCATGGTTAATAAATGTCAATAAATGTCAATAACTGTTACGGTACCTACATTTAAATATACGGATATTTAAACAATGCAATAGGTATTTTATACTACCTCTGGGCAGGTTTTCCCTGGCCCGGCCAACCATCTTAAATATACGGAAGTTAACTATTTAAATATACGGAAAAACGAGCTGCCGGCGACCGCTCCACCAGTTCAGTACCTGGTGCAAATGGCAAATGTCCACCGTTTCGATCCCCTCGCTTTCGTTCTTGATCAATGAAAACATCCTTGGCAAATGCTTTCGCATTAGTCAATAGTCTGTCTTTTATGGTATTGAGGTTGTACTGTACTATACGATTTTGGCTTTGGTGGAAATTCCTTTCATTAAAAATTCGAACTGGGTGGAAGCGCGTGGCTAGAAATTGCTTGCTTCTCTCTTTCTTGCAAGAAATGTCCTAGGTGGAGTTCCTGGGTGGAAGTTCCTTGCTTCTTGGGTGGAATTCCTAGATGAATTCCATAGGTGGAATTTCACGGGTGGTGGTGGAAGTTGCTTGTTTCCCTCTTTCTGCGGAAAAAAAACGGTGGGATTTTTTGGGTGGGGTATCCTGGCTGGCAATTCCTTGCTTTCCTTTGTCTTGGGGAAACATTGCCTAGGTGGACTTACCTGGCCAGAAAGTGCTGGAATTTTTCTTCCTCAGCAAGACTTCCTGGGTGGAGTTGTGTGAGTGGAAATTCCTTAGTTTCCCGCTGTCTGGTTGCAAGTTACTTGGGTGGAGTTTCCTGGGTTGAAGTTCCTTGCAGTGCTCCTGCTCCTTCTTGGAATTCCCTTTTTGGAATTTAAGGGATTTGCTGGCTTCCCTCTTTCTGCAGAGAAATTTCCTAGGTGGAGTTTCTTGGGTGGGGTATCCTGGCTGGCACTTGCCTGGCTAGAAAGTGCTGGAATCTTTCTTCCTCAGCAAGACTTACCTGGGTGGAGTTTTGTGAGTGGAAATTCCTTAGTTTCCCGTTGCCTGGTTGCAAGTTACTTAGGTGGAGTTTCCTGGGTGGAAGTTCCTTGCAGTGCTCCTGCTCCTTCTTGGAATTCCCTTTTTGATTCCTTTTTGGAATTTAAGGGATTTGCTGGCTTCCCTCTTTCTGCAGAGAAATTTCCTAGGTGGAGTTTCTTGGGTGGGGTATCCTGGCTGGCAATTCTTTCCTTTTCTTCGTGTTGGGAAAAAAATTGCCTGGGTGGACTTACCTGGCTAGAAATTGCTGGAATCTTTCTTCCTCAGCAAGACTTTCCTGGGTGGAGTTTTGTGAGTGGAAATTCCTTAGTTAGTTTCCCGTCGTCTGGTTGCAAGTTAATTAGGTGGAGTTTCGTGGGTGGAAGTTCCTTGCAGTGCTCCTGCTCCTTCTTCGAATTGCCTTTTTGGAATTTAAGGGATTTGCTGGCTTGCCTCTTTCTGCAGAGAAATTTCCTAGGTGGTGTTTCTTGGGTGGGGTATCCTGGCTGGCAATTCCTTGCTTTCCTTTGTCTTGGGGAAAAATTGCCTAGGTGGACTTACCTGGCTAGAAAGTGCTGGAATTTTTCTTCCTCAGCAAGACTTCCTGGGTGGAGTTTTGTGAGTGGAAATTCCTTAGTTTCCCGTTGTCTGGTTGCAAGTTACTTAGGTGGAGTTTCCTGGGTGGAAGTTCCTTGCAGTGCTCCTGCTCCTTCTTGGAATTCCCTTTTCGGAATTTAAGATAATTTAAGGGATTTGCTGGCTTCCCCCTTTCTGCAGAGAAATAGATGGAGTTTCTGGGTGGGGCATCCTGGCTGGCAATTCTTTCCTTTTCTTTGTCTCGGGGAAAAATTGCCTAGGTGGACTTACCTGGCTAGAAATTGCTGGAATCTTTCTTCCTCAGCAAGACTTTCCTGGGTGGACTTTTGTGAGTGGAAATTCCTTAGTTTCCCGTTGTCTGGCTGCAAGTTAATTAGGTGGAGTTTCCTGGGTGGAAGTTCCTTGCAGTGCTCCTGCTCCTTCTTGGAATTCCCTTTTTGATTCCTTTTTGGAATTTAAGGGATTTGCTGGCTTCCCTCTTTCTGCAGAGAAATTTCCTAGGTGGAGTTTCTTGGGTGGGGTATCCTGGCTGGCAATTCCTTGCTTTCCTTTGTCTTGGGGAAAAATTGCCTAGGTGGACTTACCTGGCCAGAAAGTGCTGGATTTTTTCTTCCTCAGCAAGACTTACCTGGGTGGAGTTTTGTGAGTGGAAATTCCTTAGTTTCCCGTTGTCTGGTTGCAAGTTACTTAGGTGGAGTTTCCTGGGTGGAAGTTCCTTGCAGTGCTCCTGCTCCTTCTTGGAATTCCCTTTTTGATTCCTTTTTGGAATTTAAGGGGTTTGCTGGCTTCCCTCTTTCTCCAGAGAAATTTCCTAGGTGGAGTTTCTTGGGTGGGGTATCCTGGCTGGCAATTCCTTGCTTTCCTTTGTCTTGGGGAAAAATTGTCTAGGTGGACTTACCTGGCTAGAAATTGCTGGAATCTTTCTTCCTCAGCAAAACTTTCCTGGGTGGAGTTTTGTGAGTGGAAATTCCTTAGTTTCCCGTTGTGTGGTTGTGGAAGTTCCTTGCAGTGCTCCTGCTCCTTCTTGGAATTCCCTTTTTGATTCCTTTTTGGAGTTTAAGGGATTTGCTGGCTTCCCTCTTTCTCCAGAGAAATTTCCTAGGTGGAGTTTCTTGGGTGGGGTATCCTGGCTGGCAATTCCTTGCTTTCCTTTGTCTTGGGGAAAAATTGCCTAGGTGGACTTACCTGGCTAGAAAGTGCTGGAATCTTTCTTCCTCAGCAAGACTTTCCTGGGTGGAGTTTTGTGAGTGGAAATTCCTTAGTTTCCCGTTGTCTGGTTGCAAGTTACTTAGGTGGAGTTTCCTGGGTGGAAGTTCCTTGCAGTGCTCCTGCTCCTTCTTGGAATTCCCTTTTTGATTCCTTTTTGGAATTTAAGGGATTTGCTGGCTTGCCTCTTTCTGCAGAGAAATTTCCTAGGTGGAGTTTCTGGGTGGGGTATCCTGATTGGCAATTCTTTCCTGTTCTTTGTGTTGGGGAAAAATTGCCTAGGTGGACTTACCTGGCTAGAAATTGCTGGAATCTTTCTTCCTCAGCAAGACTTACCTGGGTGGAGTTTTGTGAGTGGAAATTCCTTAGTTTCCCGTTGTCTGGTTGCAAGTTAATTAGGTGGAGTTTCCTGGGTGGAATTTCCTTGCAGTGCTCCTGCTCCTTCTTGGAATTCCCTTTTTGATTCCTTTTTGGAATTTAAGGGATTTGCTGGCTTGCCTCTTTCTGCAGAGAAATTTCCTAGGTGGTGTTTCTTGGGTGGGGTATCCTGGCTGGCAATTCCTTGCTTTCCTTTGTCTTGGGGAAACATTGCCTAGGTGGACTTACCTGGCCAGAAAGTGCTGGATTTTTTCTTCCTCAGCAAGACTTACCTGGGTGGGGTTTTGTGAGTGGAAATTCCTTAGTTTCCCGTTGTGTGGTTGCAAGTTACTTAGGTGGAGTTTCCTGGGTGGAAGTTCCTTGCAGTGCTCCTGCTCCTTCTTGGAATTCCCTTTTTGATTCCTTTTTGGAATTTAAGGGGTTTGCTGGCTTCCCTCTTTCTCCAGAGAAATTTCCTAGGTGGAGTTTCTTGGGTGGGGTATCCTGGCTGGCAATTCCTTGCTTTCCTTTGTCTTGGGGAAAAATTGTCTAGGTGGACTTACCTGGCTAGAAATTGCTGGAATCTTTCTTCCTCAGCAAAACTTTCCTGGGTGGAGTTTTGTGAGTGGAAATTCCTTAGTTTCCCGTTGTGTGGTTGTGGAAGTTCCTTGCAGTGCTCCTGCTCCTTCTTGGAATTCCCTTTTTGATTCCTTTTTGGAGTTTAAGGGATTTGCTGGCTTGCCTCTTTCTGCAGAGAAATTTCCTAGGTGGAGTTTCTGGGTGGGGCATCCTGGCTGGCAATTCTTTCCTTTTCTTTGTGTTGGGAACCAAATCCTAGGTGGAGTTTCCTGGGTGGGACATCCTGGCAACTTGGCGTCGTTCTGGTGAAAATTTTCCGATAGGTGGAATTACCTGGCTAGAAATTGCTGGCGTCTTTCTTCATCGCCCAGACTCACTTGGAAAGGACCCTCGGGACACCGAGATGTTTCAAAACAATTGCTGGAAAGACCAAAAATGTGAAGCGCAGTGCGGTGGCACAGAGGCTATATGTATCAGAGGATTAATGACTGCTATGTGTTCTTTATAGCCATTTATAACAACCATAAGTGGGCCCTTGTTGTGCGATACTGGTGATATAAAATATCTTGGTGGAAACTTATGTGGAATCCTATGTGTAATTCTATGTGGAAGGGAATTCACACTGAGCCGAGTCACTTCAGGGTATTCAAATTCCTTGGCAAACTGCGGAAATGAAGTTGTTGGAAAACTACGCAAAATCCCTGGTGGAAAACCATGGAAAAGCATTGGTGGAAAACCATGGAAACACCTTGTCAAAGGCACGGAAAAACATGGTGGAACATCATGCAACATTATTTTGGGCGGAAACCCATGGACACACCCTGGTGGAAAACCATGGAGCACTCTGATTGGGAAACCCATGGAAAACTTTTGGTGGAAAACAACGGAAAAGCATTGGTGGACACCAAAGGAAAACCGCTGTTGGAAAACTGCAGACAAAATGATGGAAAACTTGGAAAACCATTGACAACATCTGGTGGAAAGCCACGGAGAAACAATATCCATTGACTTTTGATTAGGGGCTTGCCGGTACCCTTGCACCATGCGCCAAGTCACATCTGGATATTGGCATTCCTCGATTGGCTCCTTGCCAACCGCTGTTTCTTCAGCTGGCGCCTGTCTATGCTTTGAGCATGCAACCCCAATTGCATGACATTTTCTTGCAAGATTTTCACAACCGGTCCAAACTTTTGGTTCGGCCATGCTTAGAGGAGTGAGGGCCTGACAGCCCCAAAAAAGTATTGGGTCTACAGTATATAAGTCTAATCATGATTATCTGTAAATGAAAAAAGTCTGCCCCCAATCTAGGCTCTAAAAAATGTCGCGTGGGCCACCCTTGCGCCGTGTGACTTCTGGCGCCGTACCCACTGCAGCAGGCGTCTCTTGGCAATCACAACTCTTCGCAGTCACAACTTGAAGCTAAAAGTGTATGGTTGCACCCTTGTCCTTTGGTGGAAACATCTTCTAGGTGGAAATGTCTTGGGTGGACCTGTGGGCCCCGCTTTGGTGCTGCCGACCCTGCCCCATATAAGCCGAAATTGTTTCACGAATCAAAAAGGCTTGAACCCTGACTGCTCATTGTATTCTAAAACAATGAAAACTTTCATGTTGCAAGACTTTGAAAACCGGTCCGAACTTTTGGTTCGGCCATGCGTTGAGGAGTGATACGTACGTATTGGATCTAATAATTACGGTTTTTGTAGGTGGGAAAAAGTCTGCCCTCTAAGCCATAGAAAAACCGTCGGACGTCCTTGCGTCATGTCACTTATGGAGCCGTCTTAGCTGCAGCAGGCGTCTCCATTGCAGCGGGCTTATCAGCCATAGAACTCTTCGCAATCGCCTCTTGAAGCTAAAAGTGTGTGGAAACATGTTCTAGGTGGAAATTTCTTAGGTGGACCTGTGGGCCCCGCTTTGGTGCTGCCGATCCTGCATGATCCTGCCCCATAAATGCTGAAATTGCTTCACGAATCAAAAATGCTTGAGCCCTGACTGCTCATTGTATTCTAAAACAATGAAAACTTTCATGTTGCAAGACATTGAAAACCGGTCCGAACTTTTGGTTCGGCCCCGCGTATGGAGTGGGGGCCTAACAGCCCAAAAAAAAGTATTGGATCTAATCACATATCCCTATAGGCGGCAAGAAAAAAACGTCTGCCCGCAATCAAGGTCCTAGAAATACCGCCTTGAAGGCCGGGTCACTTCTGCAGGCGTCTTCCCTGCAGCAGGCCCATCGGGCTTAGAGCTCTTTGTAGTCGCCTGCTGAAGCGCAAACTGTCTGGTTGAACCTGATTCCTCTGGTGGTAACTGCTTTGTGGTGGAAAAGTTCTTAGGTGGAGGGTACAGAACCGAACAGCCCTGAAAGTAGAGTTCGCAAGTTATTTGGAAAATTAGCCCCCCAAAAAAACAGCAGAAGTCGGGTAAAAACTAAATGTTTTTTGTCGGACCTTGTTCGGTTAAAAGGCCACAAACGGTTTCGAAAAGTATTTACGGTACATTTTATATGGTTCATTTTATGTTATTTATTTATTTTTTGTGTGTTTTGAGATTGTTTTCCTCCCACATCGCCGTAATAAAATCATAAAAAATAATAAAACAATAATGTAATTTTCATAAATGCTGATGATTTTTCAATGAAAATTGTTACGTATGATTTTTCATTGTTTTCCACAAAAAAGAAATCATGAAATTTTCAGTCAATAATAATTTATTTTAAAAACATAAATGTGTGTAACATTTGTTTTTTTTTAAAGGTTGTTTTAAATGTTTTTTTTGAAAAAATAGTATGAATTTATTATGGCGACGTCGGCGGAAAAAAATAAACAAAATCGACAAAATTAGCTAAAACAAATCAAAAACTAATCAAAACAAAATCATACATCCAAAAAAACAATTTTCCAATTCATAAATCCAAATCACGAACAAATCATTATAAAGATTTTACGTAAAAGAAAAATACTTTAAAAACTGTTTTTTTTAGCATTCCGCAAACTCTCAACAATAGCAAAAACAGGTAAAGCCAGGGCGTTTTTACCGGATCTTGTTCCGGAAACGGGCCGGCAAAGCTGTTTAGGAAAATCATTTTTGGCGGTTTTTCCAAAAACGCGTTTTTATGGCTGTGTTAAATATAGGAAAACGCAGGTAAAATGACAAAGTTTTTTCCGGAACTTGTTCCGGAAAACGGTGGGCCAAGCCGGCAAGCAAAGGAGGAATCGTCAAAATTCAAAATCTCGCAATTTTTTGGACTTGCCAAAAGTAGCAAAATCATGGGTTTTTGCTGCGTTCTTGTTCGGTACAGAAGAAGCAAAAGTCGCAAAATGAAAGTTCAAATTCGAACGGGTATCGTTTTCTAACAGGAAAAAAATTACCTTGTATAGAACCTTAAGGATTTCTGAAGGTTCGAATAGATTGCCGCGCAAAACTATGTTTGATGGTTCTATTTTCGGGTTCCCTCCTGCTAAAAACACTGCGATTTTGCCTCTGTTTGGCTTTGTTTCCCGTATGTAAAAGAAAAACGGCGGTAAATTAGTATCGCGGCGTTTATTTTTTGACTTGGCCCACCGTTTTCCGGAACAAGTTCCGGAAAAAACTTTGTCATTTTACCTGCGTTTTTCTATATTTAACACAGCCATAAAAACGCGTTTTTGGAAAAACAGCCAAAAATGATTTTCCTAAACAGCTTTGCCGGCCCGTTTCCGGAACAAGATCCGGTAAAAACGCCCTCGCTTTACCTGATTTTGCTATTGTTGAGAGCTTGCGGAATGCTAAAAAAAAACAGTTTTTAAAGTATTTTTCTTTTCCGTAAAATCTTTATAATGATTTGTTCGTGATTTGGATTTATGAATTGGAAAATTGTTTTTTTGGATGTATGATTTTGTTTTGATTATTGTTTGATTTGTTTTAGCTTATTTTGTCGATTTTGTTTATTTTTTTCCGCCGACGTCGCCATGAAAAAAAAAACATACTATTTTTTCAAAAAAAAACTTAAAAAATCCAATTTTTTTACAAAAAACAAATATTACACACATTTATGTTTTTTTAATAAATTATTGACTGAAAATTTCATGATTTCTTTTTTGTGGAAAACAATGAAAAATCATACGTAACAATTTTCATTGAAAAATCATCAGCATCTATGAAAATTACATTATTGCTTTATTACTTTTTTATGATTTTATTACGGCGATGTGGGAGGAAAACGATCTCAAAAAACACAAAAAATAAATAAGAAACATAAAATGAACCATACAAAATGTACCGTAAATACTTTTCGAAACCGTTTGTGGCCTTTTAACCGAACAAGGTCCGACAAAAAACATTAGCTTTTACCCGACTTCTGCTGTTTTTTTGGGGGGCTGATTTTCCAAATAACTTGCGAGCTCTACTTTCAGGGCTGTTCGGTTCTGTACCCTCCACCTAAGAACTTTTCCACCACAAAGCAGTTCCCACCAGAGGAATCAGGTTCAACCAGACAGTTTGCACTTCAGCAGGCGACTACAAAGAGCTCTAAGCCCGATGGGCCTGCTCCAGGGAAGACGCCTGCAGAAGTCACCCGGCCTTCAAGGCGGTATTTCTAGGACCTTGATTGCGGGCAGACGTTTTTTTTCTTGCCGCCTATAGGGATATGTGATTAGATCCAATACTTTTTATGGGCTGTTAGGCCCCCACTCCATACGCGGGGCCGAACCAAAAGTTCGGACCGGTTTTCAATGTCTTGCAACATGAAAGTTTTCATTGTTTTAGAATACAATGAGCAGTCAGGGTTCAGGCCTTTTTGATTCGTGAAACAATTTCAGCATTTATGGGGCAGGATCGGCAGCACCAAAGCGAGGCCCACAGGTCCACCTAAGAAATTTCCACCTAGAACATGTTTCCACACACTTTTAGCTTCAAGAGGCGATTGCGAAGAGTTCTATGGCTGATAAGCCCGCTGCAATGGAGACGCCTGCTGCAGCTAAGACGGCTCCAGAAGTGACATGACGCAAGGACGTCCGACGGTTTTTCTATGGCTTAGAGGGCAGACTTTTTCCCACCTACAAAAACCGTAATTATTAGATCCCATACGTACGTATGTTTTTTTCGGGCTGTTAGGCCCCCACTCCTCAACGCATGGCCGAACCAAAAGTTCGGACCGGTTTTCAAAGTCTTGCAACATGAAAGTTTTCATTGTTTTAGAATACAATGAGCAGTCAGGGTTCAGGCCTTTTTGATTCGTAAAACAATTTCGGCTTATATGGGGCAGGGTCGGCAGCACCAAAGCGGGGCCCACAGGTCCACCCAAGACATTTCCACCTAGAAGATGTTTCCACCAAAGGACAAGGGTGCAACCATACACTTTTAGCTTCAAGTTGTGATTGCGAAGAGTTCTATGGCTGCCATCAGGATGCAGTGGAGACGCCTGCTGCAGTGGGTGCGGCGCCAGTGCCAGAAGTCACACGGCGCAAGGGTGGCCCACGCGACATTTTTTAGAGCCTAGATTGGGGGCAGACTTTTTTCATTTACAGATAATCATGATTAGACTTATATACTGTAGACCCAATACTTTTTTGGGGCTGTCAGGCCCCCACTCCTCTAAGCATGGCCGAACCAAAAGTTTGGACCGGTTGTGAAAATCTTGCAAGAAAATGTCATGCAATTGGGGTTGCATGCTCCAAGCATAGACAGGCGCCAGCTGAAGAAACAGCGGTTGGCAAGGAGCCAATCGAGGAATGCCAATATCCAGATGTGACTTGGCGCATGGTGCAAGGGTACCGGCAAGCCCCTAATCAAAAGTCAATGGATATTGTTTCTCCGTGGCTTTCCACCAGATGTTGTCAATGGTTTTCCAAGTTTTCCATCATTTTGTCTGCAGTTTTCCAACAGCGGTTTTCCTTTGGTGTCCACCAATGCTTTTCCGTTGTTTTCCACCAAAAGTTTTCCATGGGTTTCCCAATCAGAGTGCTCCATGGTTTTCCACCAGGGTGTGTCCATGGGTTTCCGCCCAAAATAATGTTGCATGATGTTCCACCATGTTTTTCCGTGCCTTTGACAAGGTGTTTCCATGGTTTTCCACCAATGCTTTTCCATGGTTTTCCAGCGTAGTTTTCCAACAACTTCATTTCCGCAGTTTGCCAAGGAATTTGAATACCCTGAAGTGGCTCGGCTCAGTGTGAATTCCCTTCCACATAGAATTACACACAGGATTCCACATAAGTTTCCACCAAGATATTTTATATCACCAGTATCGCACAACAAGGGCCCACTTATGGTTGTTATAAATGGCTATAAAGAACACATAGCAGTCATTAATCCTCTGATACATATAGCCTCTGTGCCACCGCACTGCGCTTCACATTTTTGGTCTTTCCAGCAATTGTTTTGAAACATCTCGGTGTCCCGAGGGTCCTTTCCAAGTGAGTCTGGGCGATGAAGAAAGACGCCAGCAATTTCTAGCCAGGTAATTCCACCTATCGGAAAATATTCACCAGAACGACGCCAAGCTGCCAGGATGTCCCACCCAGGAAACTCCACCTAGGATTTGGTTCCCAACACAAAGAAAAGGAAAGAATTGCCAGCCAGGATGCCCCACCCAGAAACTCCACCTAGGAAATTTCTCTGCAGAAAGAGGCAAGCCAGCAAATCCCTTAAACTCCAAAAAGGAATCAAAAAGGGAATTCCAAGAAGGAGCAGGAGCACTGCAAGGAACTTCCACAACCACACAACGGGAAACTAAGGAATTTCCACTCACAAAACTCCACCCAGGTAAGTCTTGCTGAGGAAGAAAAAATCCAGCACTTTCTGGCCAGGTAAGTCCACCTAGGCAATTTTTCCCCAAGACAAAGGAAAGCAAGGAATTGCCAGCCAGGATACCCCACCCAAGAAACTCCACCTAGGAAATTTCTCTGCAGAAAGAGGCAAGCCAGCAAATCCCTTAAATTCCAAAAAGGAATCAAAAAGGGAATTCCAAGAAGGAGCAGGAGCACTGCAAGGAACTTCCACCCAGGAAACTCCACCTAAGTAACTTGCAACCACACAACGGGAAACTAAGGAATTTCCACTCACAAAACCCCACCCAGGTAAGTCTTGCTGAGGAAGAAAAAATCCAGCACTTTCTGGCCAGGTAAGTCCACCTAGGCAATGTTTCCCCAAGACAAAGGAAAGCAAGGAATTGCCAGCCATGATACCCCACCCAAGAAACTCCACCTAGGAAATTTCTCTGGAGAAAGAGGCAAGCCAGCAAATCCCTTAAATTCCAAAAAAAGAATTCCAAGAAGGAGCAGGAGCACTGCAAGGAACTTCCACCCAGGAAACTCCACCTAAGTAACTTGCAACCAGACAACGGGAAACGAAGGAATTTCCACTCACAAAACTCCACCCAGGAAAGTCTTGCTGAGGAAGAAAGATTCCAGCAATTTCTAGCCAGGTAAGTCCACCTAGACAATTTATCCCCGAGACATAGGAAAGCAAGGAATTGCCAGCTAGAATACCCCACTCAAGAAACTCCACCTAGGGCCTAGGGAATTTCCCTGCAGACAGAGGGAAGCCAGCAAATCCCTTAAATTCCAAAAAGGAATCAAAAAGGGAATTCCAAGAAGGAGCAGGAGCACTGCAAGGAACTTCCACCCAGGAAACTCCACCTAAGTAACTTGCAACCAGACAACAGGAAACTAAGGAATTTCCACTCACAAAACCCCACCCAGGTACGTCTTGCTGAGGAAGAAAGATGCCAGCAATTTCTAGCCAGGTAAGTCCACCTAGGCAATTTTTCCCCAAGACAAAGGAAAGCAAGGAATTGCCAGCCAGGATACCCCACCCAAGAAATCCCACCTAGGTTTTTTTTTCCGCGGAAAGCGGGAAACAAGCAACTTCCACCACCACCCGCGAAATTCCACCTAGGGAATTCATCTAGGAATTCCACCCAAGAAGCAAGGAACTTCCACCCAGGAACTCCACCTAGGACATTTCTTGCAAGAAAGAGAGAAGCAAGCAATTTCTAGCCAGGCGCTTCCACCCAGTTCGAATTTTTAATGAAAGGAATTTCCACCAAAGCCAAAATCGTAGAGTACCGTACAACCATTTCCATCTGATGATTGTGTAGCAATCCCACAGGCCGCTCTCAATACCATTGTTTTGGGTCTAACTTTAACAACTCGACTCATAGAGTGTTCCAAATCATCAGCACCATATATTTGGACCATTTACCATTTACCTGCATATATTCCCTGTGGTTTGCAATTTTTTAAACATGCGGAGTGGGCCCTACCATTTAAACATACGTACAGAACTGGTATTTCATACTACCTCCGAGCCTGACTGCCCTGGCCCGGCCACCACATATTTAAATGTGATTACCGTACGTAATATGATGGTTAATGATGGTTAATAAATACATGTTAATACTACCAGGGGAACCCAAAACCGCTAAAAAGGCAGGTACATCGGAAAAAGACGGGGTTTTATCCAAAAACCCGGGTTTTTGAATTTCCCAATTTTCCATTAGCGCACTTTCCCATAAAGTCTTGCCTTTGATGCTCAAAAATCAACAATGTAGTTATCAGCATGCTGCCAGTGGTCTTGTGTCGTGCCGGGCTAGAGACGTTGTTGGGAAACTGTTCCTACATTTCTCAAATGCATGCCCTACAACTTTCCTTCGACGAAAATGCTCCGACAAACAATGTCAATTTTTGCATACCAGGAGCATACACAACAACTTGAGTTGTGTATTTGCAAATAAATATTTCCCGATGAGCAAGCGACCCGTTTTCTCATGACATTTGTCCGTGCAAAGACCATAAGTGGGCCTAAAACCCTATTATGGCAGCCTACGGGCCAGACCCCAAAAACCCATAATTTTTTTACGGGTTCCCACGGGTTAATTACGGGTTTTTTACGGGTTAATTACGGGTTTTTGAAATCCGGGGTTTTATTCAAAATTCGAAAATACGGGTTTAGTACGGGGTAAATACGGGATAAGTACGGGAAAATGTTGGGGTCCCCATGTTTTCACCATCCCAGGGGCATAGAAATTAACAAGTTTTGAACAAATCGCACACTGGATGTCAAAATTGTCATCTCCCAGCTTCGAAACAAAAAGGGTTGAATAGCAATAATCGACTGCATTTTCCCACTCGAAGATCCAAAGTTCGAATCCACATTGGTTTTCAAGTTCTAATAGCAGCCGCTTTCTACGCAAACCTGAGGCCTGACCCTGCCCTTTTATTGATATTAGCTGGCATGAGTTGGTTACTTGTTGGTCTTGATCTTTGATTTTCACTTCATTTCATCGTCAGTGGCTGTGTCTGCAAACTAAGCAAATCAAAATATATGACCTCACACGCTTCGCAAGGCAAGTACACACACACACAAAATGAAGGTTTATTGGAAAAAAGACGGGTTTTTGCAGGGGAACCGTTGTTTTGATAAAAAGTACGTAAAAGCCGGTACTTTCAAAATGGACCGACCTTTTCAGAGGTTTTGGGAGCTCTAGGTAGTTCTTACTAATAATCAATGGCATCTGGGTAAGTTATGATGTCACTAACTTGAAATGTTGGGTTATGTTCAATTACTTTGGGATAGTTACGCCTTACTAATCATCCTTCCCGTGCGGTCGCAGTGAGGTCATTATTGCCCAGATACTTGGCAGTGTCTTTATTTAGACTTTAGACAAGGCCTGATGCCACTGATACTTGGAGCATCTTGGAGCAAAACCTCCCATTGAAAACTAGTGTTGAAGTTTTTGTTGCTGGCAATGCGGTGGTTCTGCTTTTCTGCGCGGGCCATCTTCAATGTCCCGGCAAGTGTCTGCAGGTGACACATTGGTCCCTTCTCTTTTGGTGTTCGCATATGCGGCTGCCACCACAACCCGTGCAAGTGCGGAGTTCCCGCATGTGAGGGCAGAAATGCAAGTTATCAAATCGATCACCCCAAAGGGGGGCACATCCGAGGCGGGAATCCAAGGACTGAATTTGCTCAGCTTCTTTCTGCAAGCATGGTGTCCTTTGTGAGGAACCAAAACACTGATCTGTTTCGTGCCCGGGTGACCCTCCAAGACCCCACCGCTTTCTTGGCGCTTGACAACTGACATCTTTTTGTCGTGCTCCACCTGCACACCATCCCCATCCGACCTGCAAATCAGCGAGCGAAGCTGGATAAAGGCCAGGGGGCTTTCAACACATCTCTGTGTCTTGTCGTCCTCTAGGTCAATGTTTTGCAGAGCGGTGATCCCGCACTACCGGTGATCCCGCACTACCGGCCGATGCAGCCAGGCAGCCAGGCGACGAACCAAGCGGCACAGCCCATCACCATCCAGGCCATCGCCGTCCTCCTCCAGTAATCGTTGCAGTTCCACTTCAATTTGGTCCATCCATTCCAGTCGCTCCTCCGGAGTGGCGTTGCGGAAGCGCCCAATCTCCCGCTGCAGCCGCTTGGCGCCCATGGATTGCAGCAAGGCAATCGCTTGCGACGTGGCCGGCCGTGCAAAGGATCTGCTGCGAGGATGTCCACCGCAGCCCCATCAACGATGGAGAGGGTCACTTCTTGGCCAATTTTCAGGAACGGCCCGGTGCGGAACTGGAGCCTGGCCAATCTCCCATTCTCTAACTGATATGCCACCACCCCACCTCCATGATAGTGGAGCTGGCAAACATGTCCCAACATGGCAAGTCTACTTCGGAGACAACAGCTTGATCCAAAAAAGCATCATCGACTAACGTTGTAGCAAACCCGCAAAATCAAGGAAACCAAAACAAGTGAAAACAAAGGAAAGGAAATAATTGGAATTCATCTCCTCCTCAACCTAAGGTTGCTTGAGTTGCTGGCGCAACAATGAGATTCTGCAGCAGAGGTTACTGTACCTAAGCCTTTGCAGCTTGCACTGCGGTTTTTACTGTAAGGTCGAGCAACTCTTGGACCCCTTGGTGGGCAAGTTTCAATCCCCACAAATTGGATAGCTCCAACTGTGAGTGGCTTAGCCACCGCAAATGTCGAGTGGCCACCCCCCAATCAATAAAATGTATTAAAATGTGACAAAATGATGGTAGTCCATTGGTAACGATGGATGCCGCACTGTTTTGGCCATCCCCAACCACGGTGTATCCCCGTGAACGAAAAACGAAAAGCCCAAGACATAGCGGGCATCCCAATCCTGACCTCAACTGACCAATAAACAACCCCCCAGGACCCCCAGGCCCCCAGGACCCCCAGGCCCCCAGGCCCCCGGTGCCTGGAACATCGCCTTCCGATGGATCAGCAGAAAGACCATGGACCGCCGCTCCGGTCCCCCGCCCTCCGTGGACGGTAGGCCCAACACGTCGCCCACGCGGCAGACCACGTCCGCGCCCGAGGCGAAGAGCGCCACGAAGTCCCAGGGCTGACGACCCTGGACCTCCAGGACGCTGTTGACCTGAGATAGGAACGAAACCAGTGGGGAGTCAGCCAATGGTCAACCCTCTGGAAATAAAAGTTTTAATCGCTGATTGCAACAGATTTTGATAAGGATTTGAATGTGAGATCATATGTGAGGTAAGAGTAAGGATCCATCAGCAAATGGATGCATAAGTATGACCCAGTGGGTGCAGCTTCCCAACCACTTGCGATATCTTGCGATCCTGGGATGAACAAACAAAACCACGTACGCTTGGCAGAGCTGGTGGGAAGAGATACCTGGATCTGACCCTTTTCTTAACATAGATTTACAATGATTTATATACCCAAACAAAGAGAGGGAGAGAGGGAGATGAGGATTTGGAAATATCACTTCACAATAACATCGTCATATGAGAAAAATATCCTTGATACTTCAATTCGGGATGTGGAATATCCCTATAGGGTGGGATTATGAATCGTCATCATTTCGCCACCCGAGCCACGCACATGTCAAAATCGGCCACTGGAAAGTCAAAGTTAGGGGGGCTGAAGACCACCACGCTGCCGTCCTACCAAGGTTGCCACGGGCTTGGTCGAATGAAAACTCTTAAAGTTCGAAAAGAAAACATGGTTTTTATTCAGAAAAATGCACAGTTTTCTCAGCTTTCTCGACACGGTTCTTGAACCGAGTCCCTAACGTCACTGAATGTTCTGATTTTTGGTGAACTTCATTGGGATGTTCGCCTACCCCGTTTTATGGCTATTAGATGCCATGGGCCATTAGTTAATTAGCTCTTGACTGGTCAAATGGCTTCAACTGGTGGGGTGGCGTCAAGATCTGGGGCCGATGGAGTATCAGCTGTGTGGCTCATCGATTGGTTGGTATCTGTCAACATACACTCGGTCAAACCATCTTTACATGAGAAAGGGCCTGCCAGCTTTTGATACAGTAACATCGAGGATGTTACGTCTCATCAAGAAGTCGATTCAACCATAGGCTTTCTCCAAAGCCATTCTGCATCTTCTGAGATGTTTGGAAGGTTCCGAACATCTACAGTATTTCCGAAAACATCACCTGTTGGCGCGAGCTCAATTGCTACTATTGGTCCTTCAACCACTATTCAACACATGTCTATATACTGAGATCTATTAACATCTAGTCAATATGAACATTCATGAATTGCATTGAATTACTATAACATCTATATATTATATATCATTCAAGCACCATTAACATCTATTAACCACTTCAGGTGATAGTGCCACCGGGAAATCTGGTCGCCACTTTTTTCCGCTCGCTCGCCCCCGGTGTTTTTGTTCGGCGCTCGGCGCTCAGCCGTTGATCCCGAAACGCAGCCGGCAGCGCATGAGCCGCGGCCACTGCTCCTCCGGCCAATTGGCCACGATGTCACCTGTTTTTGGCCCATGCCTTTTGCCCGGTTTTTTTGGCCCACCATCAGGGTGTTTTTTTTGGAATTTCTAGAAGAACATCATCTCCAAAGATGTTGGCAAAATGAAAGTTGAAGAAATATGGAGGGAAAAAAAAAACATTGAAACCGCCATGCTGTTTTGAAAATGCCACCGCAACGGCCGAAGAAAGACAAGCCCACAGACACCTCTCTGGCTGATTTTGATCATCTCAACCAGCAAACCCCCGATGTGACACTGATAGAAATGCGTCACACTTAGCCTTTGTTAAAGTAACATAGCTATGGAAATCATCATGTTTAATGGGTAAAACAATACTCAAAAAGTTCTATTGATCATCTATGCCATAGCTATGTTAGTTTACTGCTAAAAATGACATCCAGCGGCCTGAAACCTCATGGATCTCCCCATCAATCTCCACAAACCGCGCGTCGCTGCGTGGTGGGGCCGGCAGCGTCATCGCTGCGATCGCGGCAGCAGTGATGGTGTCCCCGCTGTCCGCGTGCTCGCTGGGGAAAATGGGATCATAGACCTCTGGCGGCTGAACCGAAAACAGGGAAGAAACGACTAAAGGTTGAGATAAAAACACCTTGAAAATTAAAAGCTCGTGACATTAGCACATTAAGTCTAAGTAATATTCATTGGAGGTTCCTCACATACAGCTCAAGGAACATCCCTCGTATAATTCATATGGCACAGTACCTCAATTTTAAGGTACCTACTGCAGCCGTGGGCCATTGGGGGTTTGAAATTCATGGCTGGCAAACGAAAGGCATCATTCCCAAAACTGGCCATTCATCCCATCCAACGCAGCCTGCGATTGCTTTCCGGTTCGAGCCGGCAACTCCCAGTCAGCAGCCTTTGAACCCTCTGGGGCTTCAAAGTAGCCACCCTTTGCGGCCCTTGGTGAGAAACAGCGGTGGAAAAATGTGGCACCAGAGTGGTGCAAAAAGTTCGGAGGGGTTGCAAAAATGCCAGGAAAGTGATAGCAATGCTGTTTCACGCCTGGCTGTTTGGTGATTAAGCCACAACCACACCCCAAGATGCGAGTCTCTTGGGGGATATCTTACAAAGGTTCAGAAAGTTGATTAAGTGGCGTTTCACCCCCATAAAAGGAGCATACCTTCTGGTAATCAAACATGGCAATTGGAAATCCCTTATCAATAGAGTTTTATAGCTGGAAAAATCACCCAAAAAATTCGATGCCGGATTTTCACGCCATGTTTGATGGTCCGGAAGGGTACCAGCTGGTCCAGAGCTTCAAAATCTCCTTCAGCGGGACAGCGAACTTGTACCCCGCTGGCGCGTATCTCATTTCGGTCTCCGAGACGGTCGATGCTTCTGGGGCCAGCGTTTCCTTGCCACATCCAGGGGCTCCCAGGAAATCCATTGGAAATCCGTTGGAAATCCATTCGAAATCCATGGCAAATCCGGGTAATCCATGGCAAATCTCCATTTGTTGAGTATTCATAGCCACTTTCTGCGAGAAATGTTGAAATGCCCAAGTAAAAACGAGACACGCGGATTAACCAATGGTAAAATCTTCCTATGAAAACGTGGGACACAAATCCATGAGGCATCTACTGGTTACATCTGGTCGTGTGATGTGGTTGGGAATCTCTTAGTAGCTCCTTGACTCCCAGGGCAAATAGCCATAGATGCTCATGGCTCCAAATCGCTTCCTCCTCACCACTGGGTAGATGAATTGGCTTTTAAACCCCATTAATATAAATTTAGTACCCACCATAACTATCCGCAACTATACTTATATCGCGCTATATCTAGAATAAACATCGATAAACCATAGAATTCACCTAGTGAATTAAGCCAACTTAGCATAATTTAGCTATCTAAAGCCATGTCTAACTCACAGATGTTCAGACACTTAGCACGTCACCAGGTCTCACAGTGCAGGTGCTCCCGCTCGATGCTCCACTTCCCCAGGTGCTGTTCGCCCTGCGAGGACCAGGCGTCGTAGGTGCGAGTCCAGGCCAGGCGGTAGCTACCTCCATGGATGAGGGGGGCATAGCTCCAACACGCTCCAAACATGTTGAGGGGGCGTAGTATGGGATGTAGTGGGGTATGCAGCTATGCAAGTTGTTCATATAGTTCTTCAACTTTAGACATGTTCGGAAATCGACATCGACAAAAGAGGCCGGAGAGATCCGGAGAAATCCCATGATATCCCTCCTTCCATGGTCATCCTGCCTCCTTCCAGAAAGGTAAAGTTGTATCCGACCGACTCCTCGAAGTCTTCCCCCAAGGGCCGCACAGCGTTGTAGCAAAAGAGCACCGAGCCCTGCTGCCGAACGCGTTGCATGAAGGCGATACCTCGGGGGCCCGAGATGTGGATGTCAAAAGCTGGGGCAAAACCTGGCTGTGACCCAGGGGCATTTCAAGAAAAGAAGCTGGGATTTTTGGGCAAGGTACCTTGCGATATCTTGCGATTGTGATTTGCTTGGTGGTTCGAGGGGACAACCCGATCTAAGGTCTATTGGGTCTATGAGTTTTATGCAGTTGTCGTTCTACCGTATGTGGTTCCACATATGCTTCAATTCTTCGTCAGTTTCATTGGGTTGAGGTATGTTGAGGTATGTTGAGGTCCCGAGCCATCCAGCTGCTGGCCAGGCAGCGAACGTCCAACTTCAGGGCCTCGTACAGGTAGTCCTTCCAGCTTCGGCAACTGGGGGAGGCGTTAACTTCGGTTACGAACCTCGGTGGGTGGTCCTGGGAGTTCTGGGAGTTCTGGGAGTTCTGGGGGCCAACTGCCATGGAAAAAAATCCAGGGAACTTCCTACCATGAACTCACCATGGATCTTTGAGAGGGACTGTATAGCATTGGGAAGTATGTTCCGCCATTTTTAGACCAGTTTGCCATGGTTTACCTTGCCCTTTGCATCCCTAGTGCCATGCCATGACCATGCCATTGACTGGTGACTGGGAAGGCCTTTTGAACCAAGGCAAGCCGGCCGCAATTGGGATAAATCAAGGCACATGCTGGATGCTCCCTCCCAAAATCTTGGAGCATAATGTGGTATACCCAATGCCATAAATCTATATAAATCCTACCATTTAGATGATAGTTACCCATACAAATGGTGCCACATGATACATCAGGGATGGTTTATAACATTTGGATTACCAAACAAGAACTATGGTCCTTCCAGTTCCACCCAACGCCAAGGCCAAGGGGCGGAAGAATCCTTGCAAGGAGATCTTCATCCAGCTGGGGCAGCTGCATCGTTTCACCCCGCGCGGTGCAGTTGCACTGCGCCCGAAAACCGCGCCGCGCCCGAAAATGCGAAAGCGTGGACTGCGGGCGTCGGAAATGTTCGACGCGAAAATGGCTGCATAATGTGGTGGCTTTCGCGTGAAGATTCGATGAGTTTCAACTGAATCCCTTGTCACGACCTAATGTCAGAACGGAATCGAATGGGGAAAGTTTGAGGATCGAAGAATGGATGGCCATCCAAAATGCATGTAGAAACGCATATAACGGATTATGATTATGAATTTAAAGTAAATGAAACCTCTTTTTGAAAAGAATGATATTACTTAGAACCATAAGCAGTATAATTAATGTTACAAGTTACAACGTCATGTAGAAAGGAAGGAAGCCGATCTCAGCGGCCGTCCTCCGCCTGTGGCAGCAAGGGATCGCTGCCACTCTGCAGGCGTCGTTCCAACATCCGCGGCGCAGGGATGGTTGTGTGGGGCACAAAGTCCTGGGACAATGCGGCTAGCTCCGTTGTGAAACATAGAAAAAGCTATCGAAAAGCGATGGAAATCCATAGGGAATCTCCCAAAACAAAGGAATGATCTGCTTTCATGGTGGGTTTTTCATGGATGTTCCATATTGTTTTGCTATGTTTTAGTAGTTTACTGGAGGGTAACCAGCTCAGTGGCTCAAAGCAACCCAAAAAATGATGCAGAGGAGTGGTATATCCAATCCCAACGAAGTGGCAAGTTGCTCCCCCATCTTCTTGGTGGTTCCTGATATTTCTTAAAAATTGTGCAAATTCTGAATGGCAGAAGCCCTCATCTTACAGCACAGCGCCTAAAAAGAAACTATATCTCCTAGCGAAAATCCAGTGGTTTGGCTGCCAGTTTGGCTGTAAAGCTGCGAGATCATCCTCTGAACTATGGATGAAAAAACAGGAAGGTAAAACCGTTGAACGTCCAAGCATGGGCCCAGGCATGGGCAAAAATTAGCGGGCAGACTTGCATGTTGGCCCACCAAGTGCCGAGCTTCAATTCGGAAGGGCAAATACCTATGGGCGCTACGTTGGCAGCTGGATGGTCAACCGGAAATTTCGCAAAGGTTGGGGTCCCTATTGATGGGGCTTTAAATGGCCATCAAGATACTGAGAGAAACAAAAATTAAAATCATTTGAAATCCATTGTTTGCAATTCGTTCCTCCATTTCTGTATTGTTCGACTTAAGCCCTTGCCGGCTGGGAACTTCTCCAAATTGGGCCACCAGAATTGGGAGCTCACGCTACACGCCATTTCCAACTTGGTCTCCTCCGGCACAAAGCTCCTGAGATCGAAACGAAGCGAGATCATCGAAATCCTCGTGCTCCAGTAACCCTTCGAGGAATTCATCAAAAAACATGGAGGAACTCCAAGTTCCTCCCCCTGCCGTGCAAATGTCCGAGGAAGAACGGAGCTACCCTTTAGCATCCTTTAGCTAAGTTACCTAAGAGCATTAATGTGGTAAACCATGGTAAACCCAATATTAAACTATCACATACTATCACCAGTCTATCACCCATATTACCTCTCTCCATCGCCCTCTCCGGAACCATCTTACCCATATTACCATCCCCCTGGATTTTTCGTCCAAGTAGCTGGATCCGGATGGACGCGAACGGCTTGGACGCTTCGTTGCCAAAATCCAAGGCCCAGAGATTGTCCAAGGGCTGAATTTCCTGGGACCCGGACATCGTTTTCCCCATGGAACCCACCGGTCCCCGAACCCTGGCGGCAACCATGGTGTGCCCTTGGGCCAACACCTTGGCTGATATCAACCCGTGCCCCATTCCTCAGCGTTTTTTTCCAATGGTGGACCCATGATGATTGAGCTGGTCAGTGCCCCCTTCCCCCCTTCTGGGGACCAGCACCACTATACCCATCTATACCCCATCTCAAAAGTTGGATACATATCTGACGGATTTTCCCCTCCTTGACATGGCCAATCTTGGGCAATTACCCTGTCAAGAAGTATACAAGTAAATAAATAAATGAATGAATAAATAAATAAATATGTATACATTATTATTATCATTATTATTATTATTTTATTTATTTATTTGATTTGAGATCAAATAAGTATGTCTACAACATCATATTCCTCCATTTCTAGCTCTCAAACTTGGCTCATTTAACCTATGTCGCCGAGGTTCCGGGTTCTGCACCTGAACCTCGAAACCATAAACGCCATTGGGCTGAAACACTGCCACATGGCCGCCCTGCTGAGCCTCTACGAAAGCGCCTGAGGCATGCCAAGCAGTGCTAAAGCATGGGGACCTTATGATTTGGCGCCCAACTTCCACGAAACATTCCAGGATCCCCTCGAAATACATCAACAAACCAGCTCCCACCATATGTTTGACCTGGAATTTCTTCACCACCATGGTGAAAACTAGCCAGGCAGCTGTTGGGAACCGAGATGCGGGCAGTTTCATTAATACCTCAGGGAGACACAAGCAGTGGGAGACAGTGGGATGACAAATTGACAATGAACCCATCCAGAAACTCAATTTGCTTCCGTTTGGCTTCTGAAGGACATGATGCTGAGGTCCCCGAGTTCCCCAAGTTCAAGAATAACCTTTTCGATACCTATTCGATCCGATGAACATGAAAGACTTGAAGTCGTCAAGCCCTGTCTCCGCGACCTTTGGGCATTGGCCAATTGTTTTTTTTGAAACAAAGATGGGATGGTTTCCTACTCATACGTCCAACATCTCCAAGAAAAAAAATACAATCCACGGACCCCAGTATTTTTGATTCCTTGATGCCTCTCTCTTATGGGAATGTCGATTCACTAAAGGAAATGTTGTGGGGTAATTGAATCTTTACTCATGAAAAAATTGTTTCTTAATGGCAGTGAATCCTTTCTCCGTAATACTCAACATCCAAAAAAAACATCAATAAACCAGGGTTCTTACTTAAAATATCTTAAAATCACGTAGGGTGTGTTTTTTCGTATCAGGAGGATAGGATGAAATGGTTCTGGGTCTTAACCAACCAAGGAGCCGAGACATGCCACCGGGGCCAACCGACTGGGCCAGCTCATGAGGACTGCTGATGGACACCAGGAGACGCGGCTATTTGCAGCACAGGGAAGCCTGGATTGAATCATCCCCATCGCTAAACGCAGGAAATGGAAGAATGACCCCATCCATATGAACATGTATGAACAATCATCCCAGTTCCCCATTCTCTGCAAAGCACAAGCAAGCCCTTGAAGAGCTTTATGTAGCCATCTCTAGCCTCTAGTACACAATAGTACTGCAGTAGATACTCTAAATGTAAGATTGTTTTAATGTACTTTAGTGATTTTGTTTTTGTCGCCCTGAATGTGCTAGAACATCTACCATGTGATTTCGGAAAACGTGTTGCTCTTCACCTTTGGAAATTGGAAATGGGACATCTACCATCCCTGGACCCTGTGCCTGGATTGGCCATCCGTAGGCTCCATGAAGGCTCGAAGGTACTGCGAGCAGTCCTGCGTGTGCCAATGTGCCAAAGCCACTGGTTGTTCTTTTCTATTGCCGGGGTCTCCCATGGTTGCTGGGCTGGTTGGACTTTTCATGACTTTTCCCATAGGAACCTGGCCCGCAGGACATCCCAGAACCTCCCAGCCTCTTCGAAAAAGAAGCCCAAAGGACCTCGCAAGGCCACAACGAAGGACTCCATGTCCTCCGCAAAGAGAGGCGTCTTGCTGATGCCTGGAAAGCGGGCCTTTTTTTGTGGCTTCCTCTGGGATCCTGGGATCCTGGGATTTGGGGACCACCGTAGAGATTGATCCTTGTTTGGTATTGAAAAGTAATGAAAAGTATAGGTCTCACACCTGATGCAGGTAGGGTGAATCCCAAGCCACATTCAAGGCCTCTCTATTGACGATTTCACCTATTTTTCACCATTTAAATACGAGACGTGAATCGAAGTTGCTTGAAATAATCCTGATATATTGTGATATTGATTTCATCCCCATCATGTTTTGAATCCCAAAAAAAGGGGGACCTTCACCGCCCTTCTCAACCGCGTTTCACGGCCCTGTGAGAGGTGCCAAGGCACGAAAATAGAAGGCCAAGATATTGAGCTTCAGAGGCGCATCGTCGCGCCCAAAGCCGGGGGCTGCGTAGAAGTTGGGGCGTAAGATACCCGCCTGGCGCCAGGCAGGCATGGACCTGACTTGGACAACCAGGAGCCTTTTCAATGTGTCTTTAATGTGGATTTTGTTGAGGAAAAATGCATATACTAGATTAATATAGGTTAATTACGATATATAGAGAGGGAGAGAGAGAGAGGGAGAGAGAGAGACATATATATATATATTCATTATTATTCTGGCATGCCGGGACCGCTTTCACTCTTCAAGCATTGAACTTTTGAGGTTTGAACATTAACATGCCAAGTATCCCAAGAGCCTGATCCACCCTGTGGCCTCTGGCAAAAAGCCCAAGACTTGGGGGCTGGGGATGTCCACTGCCACATCCAAAATCTCATGCTTTGGGTAGAGGTGCAGCTGACCTTGGAATCCAAAGCAGTGGCCTTCTGGGGTCGAAATGGTCCCCTGGTCCGGGATAGACAACAGTCGGTCCTGACACTGACCATTTGATGGATTGCATCCCAGGCCTTCTAGAAACAACCCTGATGAGACACTGCTGAAACCGGACACTGGTCGACAAGTTCTCCAAGAGTTTGACTGACTGCCATTTCATCTGCTAGCTTGGATGAGAGGTGGTCAGGGTCCCCTCAAGTACTCACCTGGTTGACATGTTCGACAAATTCTTCAGCAAGTTGCTGTAGGTGCCCATTTTCCAGTAAAGCATTGCTGAGGTTGGGAGACTTGGCATTGTCACGCCCCTGGGCACGGCGAAAAAAGGCTGCCCCTGATGCTGCAATGGAGTTCCATCAAGTCTTCTAGCTCGCACTGGACATATTGCCCGACTGTCGCAGTGCTTCTTCGGAAATTCCCTGATACAACTCATAATAGATCTATATCTATATCATTCTATGTGTATAGGTATATATATATATATACATACACATGCACACATGACGTTGCATTGCTGCGCCTTGAAGTCTCGGATTTCAAATAGTGATTGTTCTTTTGTGAGAAACTCAAGGGTCTGGTATGCCATGTGCCCCTCCAAACATCTCCCCACCTGAAGCGGAAACCATAAAGCCCTGGAGGCATCTGGAGACTTTGGGTGATCCAAATCTTCACCACGGGCAGTAAGGTCACTGCATTTTCAAACACCAGACCTGCGGTCGCCAGGGCGAGGATTGACCATCCACAACTGGGCACCGGAGCCGTTTTTTGATAAGGCTGATAAATATTGATAAATGATAAGGATTTCATTGAAACCGTTTCTGGTTCCCACATCTAAGGCCACAACTGTGGTGTTTAGTTGGAGAAACTGCCAAGGAGAAGCGCCATCAGCGCCAGGGCACAGTTTCCTTCCACTGAGGTGATGCTCAAGAGCTCAGGGATGCTGGATGGCCAGCAGCCCAGCATGGTGCCCCGCGTCAGCTCATTGCCCTCGATGAGGAAGCCATCGTTGACCTGGGGAGGGTGACAAAACTGGAGGCTTTTAAAGATAGAAACATGCATCGCCGTTGACATAGTCCGGGCAAATTTGGATATGTATGTATATATATATATATATTATGGGTATGATTTTTCAATTGTTTGGGGGTCCCAGCTATAGTTGCTGAGCACGTCAAGGACCAAGCGGTCCTTTTTTACAATAAAGGCATGCCAAGGTACCGTCAATGGGGAGGCAATGCGAAGCCTGAAGTCCATGATGTTGTCATTGAAGCCTGCCAAGTTGCAGCGCCTCAATGATGGTTGCACTGCAGGTCGCACAGGAGGTGGTTTAGAATACTATAAAAATTATTATTATATACTAAATCTTGCCTTAAAAAATGATGGGATAATTAATGGGGGCATGGGGGATAGTAAAACCAGACATGCACCTTTCTATTCAAAATTGATGGCTCCGGGATTTTACATCGATTTTAAAGAGATGGGAGTTGGCACCAACAAGGATACACATATACATCCTAGGCACGAGCAAAAGGGCCCACTGCCATTGGACAAGGCACGAATATATGAAGACATCATGCACCACTCGAATGGGGGGTGCTGGCAGCATTGCGCCCTGGCGCCAGTGTCAACCGTTCGAAGGGATTTTGCTCATGGATTTACCCTCTGGTTATTGGCAAACTGGGTGGCAACTACAAAAAAAATCATAGAAAAGCGAAATTACCAATGAAGGATTTGCCATTGCCACACCTACAGCTGAAATCTAACCGCTCTCACTGCGGTGGAGAGCGCCTGCATGCGATCCAAATAGTAGTCCGCATCCTTGCCCGGATCGTAGCCGATCCTTGGGGCAGCTATTTCCAGGGACACCGTGCAAGGTCCAGCTTCCAAAATCTACCTCTGCCAGCCCCTGCCATGGAAGATCCATGGAAGTTCTGATTAAAACTCTGAGGATCTCCAAAGCATGAGGTACCTTTGCCACCTTCAAGGAGCTTTTAACAACAAAACATTGAAAATATCCTTAAGAACCATTCAAGACCTTGCGCAAACCTCGAAACTTAACCCCCCCACCCAAAAAATAGAACACCTAATTTGAAAGTGCGAAAATCCATTTCCAAAACCACAACGATTTCCCGCAAAATTGGGGCCCAGCAGCTCCAGATAGAAGGCGTTCGTGGAGCGACTGGGTGGCCGCAGAGGCACCCACATACGCACGCGGAAGCCGTAGAACATGGTGCTGCGCATCACCAAATTCCGGAGGAGCAGCTCCTGGGAGAACCAGCAGAAATCGAGACTTCGCCCGATTTGACCAGAAAAATACCACGAGAAATTGGGAACTGACAAGAATATGGACTTGAAAATGGTCCCACCAAAACCCCCAAAAAAAGTGTAATTGATGGACACATGTTATCATATACCGTCCTGGATGTGGGCCAAACCCCTGGCATCGACCCTGGTGTTCACATCAAAATGTCTGTAAGCTAAGGTCCGAAAGAGTATCTGGGATGAGCCTCCTACGGGGTGGAACTATAGCTATGAATAGCTATGGGTGGTCTGTGGCTAGAAAGCCGTATCACTTACGTAATGCCCGGACAAAATGCGATAATTCAACTTAGAATATCATGGATCATGACTACTATTGATTACTATGATGAGAAACGGGTTGGGGGATGTATCGCAGGAACAGGTGCCAAAAGACAGAGATGTTTGTCTAAAGAAAGCCAAGCGAGCTAAGCATGGCCCAAAGACCTAGATTTCAACACAGAAATCCACCTGCGAAGAATCTGTGGGTTTTGGGTCATGGAAGTGCAACCCCCCAGTCCCTAGTCGCTCCCAGGTGACCCCTGAATTGCCAAGGCTCGTTCTGGAATTGAACCTGCAGGGATGCCATTAAAACAATTTATTAAAACCCTCGTAGCCTAACACCAAAATAGCTGGCAAATGTTGGTTCATCCTTTGAAACATGCTTAGGTTGCAGCCCACTCCCATCAAATAACAAATAACAAAAAGGAACACCTGGCCCACAGCTGCCATGGCCAACCCCACCTCAGGGGTCACCTGGAGTTCGCAGTACTTGCAGGTGAAATTGGGCAAATATCCCTGCCAGCCCTGTTCCGCGAAGGGAATCCAGACAAACCCCACTGGCGCAATGAGCCGCAAACTGGTGAGCTGACCGTCTGTGCTGGGCGTTAGGGGATAGACGCTTAAGAAGGCACTCATGTCAAAGGCCGAGGTGGGCAGAATTCCTGAGAGTCGAAGAGTTCATTGGGTGTGAGGGGCTTGCATCTTGGGTGCGACCTTGCATGCCTGCCGCTTGTGCCATAATATATCACTTGGAAATTATCCCCGCGGCACCTCTCTCTGCATTCAAGCCCTTCCAAACCACAACCCCTCAGAACAACCGTCAAATGGCAATATTGGATGTAAATATGTTTTACTGTTGATACAATAGACAGTACGAGTACGTCACGTGTCCACGTCTTCCATGTCCTGTTATTTTTTTTGCCGGGGCTTCCAATGGTTTGCCCTAAAGCGACAACCTGCAAAGTGTTATGCAAAAACAAAATGACACCCTCAAAAAAGCTTCCTGCTTGGTTTTGCTACCTTCCGAACCCCATCTACCCCACTTTGCCACTTTCAAGTTGGAGAAACAATAATTCCCCTCAAAACATACCCTGTTTTTCGACTAGGTGGTGCACCCTTCAATTCGCCCAGCATCTTTCAGCGCCCAAGCTGAAATTCACTGGCAGCAGCAGGCCCGAAGGATACACCGCCCAGCCGCGGTCATGGGGCTCCACCGGCAGGGTATCCACACGCGCTGAGTTGAACTGCACCGAGTACCTCGAAGAGGGCGAAGATCATGATCCACAAAACACACAGCGTCTGCAAACATGCAACATCTACGGAGATGTATGTGCACACAGCTATCAATATGATATGTATATATATATATACACGCGTGTGTGTGTGCGCATGTGTTTGTGCATTTATCGAAAACATATTTTGTGTTTCTACGTGTTTATGTACGTATTTAGATTGAGATATAGAGATAAACATATGTAACATATGTATTATAAGATTGGTATATCACATAGATAGATAGATAGATAGATAGATAGATAGATAGATAGATAGATAGATAGATAGATAGATAGATAGATAGATAGATAGATAGATAGAGAGAGAGAGAGATAGATAGATAGATGGATAGATAGATAGATGGATGGATGGATGGATGGATAGATGGATAGATAATGTACGTGTCAGTGTAAGATACGAAATGACCCGTTTTTTACGGTGAGATCTACTTTTCCCGTCGGTCGAATATCTCCAGCCAACGTTCGCAGTTGAGTTGCTTGGATCCATCCACCATGTATCCATCTGGGCTTTGAAGCCACAAACGCCAACCATCGTGCTGACTCATATTCCAAAATTCCGGGCTTTTGATGTTGATCTGAAAGGCATAGTATTTGCCTCGAGATCTGAGAGGCTGAAAAAATGGGATCTGTTTAGCGACAAAACTATCGTGGCTTCAGATAGCTCCACTGATTCACAGAGCGAAACCTGGCCATGGCGAAACTCTAATTGACTAACTGACTAACTGACAACTGATATTTTGCATCCAACTTGTGCTGTGTGTGGAAAGGCTGAAAATTGGGTAGGCCTAAAAATTCCTGAATGTCCCAACTACTCAGTTTGAAGAAATGGAATGGGGGCGGACCCCATTAGCAGACCCAAAACAAGTTCGCCAATTTTCTCCAAGCTTCCAAGGATCAAAGTCCGCCCAATCTTCAGAATTGCGCGCGTATAAGGCGCTGTGGCCATCCTGAAAACGTGCGTTGTTGAGACCACTTGGAGGTGCAAACAAAACATGGTCGAGTCATTTCTATCAATGGGTTGGTTTTCCAGCTTTAATCATGGTTGACACCATTGAGGGTGTCCTACAATTTTCCCCCTAAAGAACGGGATTCTACAGTAATGGATTCTATCAGTTATATATATATAGTATCCCCGTTTTCATGGATATCATTGATGAATATGCCAGTGAAAACTAACACAACAGACACAAACTTGCCATGTGGGAATGTCAGGCATGAAGGAAAACCATCGACTTCCGCATGTACCACCTGGTGTGACAGCCCACTGAGTGGAAACGATTATCCTTGAGTACTCCCATCCCCATGGTGCTACCCCCGAATCGAAACCTTGGTCGTTGGATCTCATCTTGTCGCCTCAGGGGTGAGGTGTCGTGCTATGTGGTGCTTCACCTGCGACCAGGCATCAGAATATCTGCAGGCCTCTGCCAATCATCCTGAGTTCACGGTGAGCCAGTCCCAGAAATTCACGGCCGGCTATGGCTGAAAAAGGAGGTGGCGCATGAATAGACCCACATGACGGATCATGTTCACTTGATTTTGGGGGGTATGTCATTTTGAGCAATTAGTTCAAAAAGGGTGGGGTTGAAAGTTGCGATCCTACGAAACTTGTCGAAGATAAGGTTCCGGTTTGGAGGATACGATGTGTCGACATGTTCCTATTGGATCCTGTTGGTTGTTCAATTGCGGATTACTCCTCGTTTCTTTCTCAACGAACCACGAATCAGTAGGAAAAGCGGACATCTATATCGCTTCCTGCCCTTCCTGGTAACTCCATGATTTAAATATATATGTGTGTATTCCCATTCAAAACATGCTAATCCCACAAATTCAATTATGACCATCTGCAGATTATCACCATTCTACCACCATCTTTGTTGACCAAATCCGAATTCTTCTTAATCAAATCATGTACCCTCTGGTTATTTAACATAGCCATGGAAAATGGCCCATAGAAATAGATGGTTTACCTATTATAATGGTGATTTTCCATGGCTATGTTAGTCATAACCAGATGGTATTTCCCAATTGAAAGGAACATTTTCCCAGTAAAACCTCCATTTTCATGGTATTTCCCAGTAATAATGATGATTTTCCCAGCTAGAAACCTCCATTTATAAGGGATTTTCACGATGAAATCACCCATCTTTGCCCGTGAAAACACATCGCCGGCGCCCAGCCATGCCCAGCCCAGGGGCCACCGAGCAGTTGATCTCATCTCCCAAGGTGCTGGTGGTAGACCTCGCTCCGGTGATCTCCGTGCCCCAGGGCAGTGCTTCCCAGTCCTGGCGAGGCGTGTGTGCCCTGGAAGATAGATAGATAGATAAGATTAGATTAGATCGGATAAGATTACGGCCAAACACCTCGATTTGCCTGCGTTTGTCGGCGGCCATCTTCGTATGTGCTGAAAACGTGGTAAAAATGGGAGTTTTTTGCATCATGGCTAACTTCATGTTCTATATCGGCACGCACAGCATAGGGACCTGTGCGAGTCTCTTACACATCATCATCATCATCATCATCATCATCATCATCAAACCCTTATTGAAGATCTTCAATGAATGTAGAAGTTAAACGGGGGTGGGAGAATTAAACCATTATTGAAGATCTTCAATGAATGTAGAAGTTTAACGGGGGTGGGAGAATTAAACCCTTATTGAAGATCTTCAATGAATGTAAAGTTTAACGGGGGTGGGAGAATTAAACCCTTGTTGAAGATCTTCAATGAATGTAGAAGTTTAACGGGGGTGGGAGAATTAAACCCTTATTGAAGATCTTCAATGAATGTAGAAGTTTAACGGGGGTGGGAGAATTAAACCCTTATTGAAGATCTTCAATGAATGTAGAAGTTTAACGGGGGTGAGAGAATTAAACCCTCATTGAAGATCTTCAATGAATGTAGAAGTTTAACGGGGGTGGGAGAATTAAACCCTTGAAGATCTTCAATGAATGTAGAAGTTTAACAGGGGTGGGAGAATTAAACCCTTATTGAAGATCTTCAATGAATGTAAAGTCTAACGTTTGATATCCCCAAGTGTACAGCATAGAAGGGGTGTGGGCGAATCGGTGTGTTTGCGCGTAAGATTAGATTGGTTAGATAAGATTTGATTAGATAAGATTAGATTAGATTAGATAAGGTTAGATAAGGTTAGATAGGATTAGATTAGATAGGATTAGATTAGATTAGATTAGACAAGATTAGATTAGATTAGATAAGATTAGATTAGATTAGATAAGGTTAGGTAAGATTAGATTAGATTAGATTAAGATTAGATTAGATAAGATTAGATTAGATTAGATAAGATTAGATGAGATAAGATTAGATTAGATTAGATTAAGATTAGATTAGATTAGATAAGATTAGATTAGATTAGATAAGATTAGATTAGATTAAGATTAGATTAGATAAGATTTGATTAGATAAGATTAGATTAGATAAGATTAGATTAGATAAGATTAGATTAGATAAGGTTAGATTAGATTAGACTAGATTAAGGTTAGATAAGATTAGATTAGATTAGATTAGATAAGATTAGATTGGATAAGATTAGATTAGATTAGATTAGGTTAGATAAGATTAGATTAGATAAGATTAGATAAGATT